ATTTGACGGCAGCCCAATATCTTCACCTTCGGCAAAGCACGGTTTTTAAAGATTCCGAAGGCATCGGGACCCAAGAAATCATCACTAGTCAAACTCGCTTCGGTGACCACTCCTTCAATTTCTACCTCACTACTGGGTATGTAGACTCGGTATTCCAATGAAAAAAGCTCGCACGCAACAATTTGGTTAGCCTGCTTCCGGTCATCAACGGTAACGCGCAGTTTTATTGGTGTTACCTTGAAAATATCGGTAACGGCCGAAAAATGTGTTGTTAGATCCTTAGAGATCCTCGGAATGTTCAAAGATTTTTGTTTGGGCCGGAAAAAAACAACCCATGGGCCTTTCGAGGCTTCTGGGTAAGCCTTTAGGCGGGGGAGCGCAGAGGTTTTCGGGGGCAATTGTGTGCGGGGTGCAGGTGGACGAGGAGGAGATGGTGGGGGAGAGGGTTGTGGGCGATACCTTTTCTTGGGATATGCTCCAGTATTTTTGCTGGAGAGCGAGTCAACTGGAACGTCAAGGGTTTCCATTTCCACAACTTCCTCGAGACTTTCGTGTGAGGTGGAATTAGGAGTTTCGTCGTCTGAGATGGAAAGCGACCATCCCCCGCCTTTATCATTTTCATCCATTGCGGTTAAATATCGCCGCAATGGTGTTTTTTGTATTTTTTTTTTTACAAATAATTGCAGTAATTTCAAATAATATCAAAAATAGAAAAAAAAATATGTGTATATGTATAAACAAGTTGATATAGTTTCACTCTACTAAAGAGTAATACATGCGAAAGAAAAAAAAAATTCAAGAAAAAATAATAATAAATGATTATATATTATTAACAGAGATTTGGATCGCCCTAAGTAATACAAAAAATAATAATAATAAAAAAAAAAACAAGAAAAAAAATTGGATTTTTTGGATCACCCTAATTAAACACCAGTCTAATATTGAACCAGGGAAACAAGGGAGGTGCTATACTGGCGAAAACAAAACAAACGACACGATTTATACCTATTGCACTGAGGCAGCAGCAGACTGAAGAGATTTAATTGTTTGATCCAACTGCTGCAGAATCAATAACCTCGATGGTGGTGTGCCTCGGTCGACTCGGTAGGCAATATGACGCTCTTTCGTTATTGCTATCGATGGGGTGATATACCGATAGTGGTGATGATTTTGCTGATGATGTTGCGATGATGCTGGGTTAAAGCTGGACCGTAATGAAAGCACTCGGCATATCATTAACGGCTTCCTCACTCGCGCACTAGTTGTTTAAACACTATGCCAACTAACTTTGGCGAGAAAAAACCCTCTCGTGGGGAAAAACTCGAAACTCTTATCATACATTAAAATTGAAAAGCATGTTGAAAGTACAAAAAAAAAAACTGGTGAAATTTCATACATTTTAGTGTTTTTAAGTTGAAAATTTTCATTACTGTTAATTTAGTTGTTCTACAAAACATTCTCCATGCAGTTCCCTAGATTTGTGCCTGTGGTAGTATCCTTGTAGGCTTTATGGTTTCTTCGTAATTATTGATTTAAAACAGCCATAAAAACTTGTGACGTTTTCTTAAAAAGCGCTATGGCCACCCTATTCGTTCGTACATTCGGCTGTTGCAGTGGACTACGCACATGAAAATTTGGTAGAATGTTATTGTAAATGTTGAACTACATTCTTAACTTTCGATTACCGCACATCTCCTGCGCCGAAAGAAAACATAACTGCGGAGATGTTTCGCGGTATCGAATATTGCTCAGTCTCAGCAGAACACACAGCGAGAGACACCGAATCGAGTTCTTTACTAGCTAAGACTTAAATCTTTCATATGGTATGTTGAAATCAGAAAACCACATTAAGATTTAAAAAATATAGCTAACCAAAGTTGGCAATAAAAAAAACCATAAAATGTTGAATAACTCACTTAGCAGTCATTTCCGACCCTATGTTTCATGGGAATTTTTTCATAACTTTAGGAGCCATTCTATCCTGAAAATATGTAAAACCCGGAACCAAACACCCTGTATGTTGTTCACAAGTCGAGGATTATGAAATTCTTATGTCTATTTGCCTCAGTGTAGGAATACTATTTTGCAGAAAACACTTATTCTCAATATAACCATGCTTATTACCGTTTAATCTACTATGAATTCAGTATATTTGACTATGAATGTTAACAAATTTACTATAATTCTGGCAAAACTACTATCACAAACGAAGTGACAGACGGAGCGGCTCGAAAACTTTGGTGACTAACCTGCTATTTCAATTTTTCAGTGTACCACATGGCAACACTACTACTGGATTGTACTAGCATTTTCACCAAAAAATGTATTAGAATGTTTTGGTTCTATCTCTTTCACTCTACTCAAAACTAAAATGCATAAAAAAATGACAAAATGATACACTCTTTGCACACTGTCAAATAATCATTGTACACAAAATCAACTTTGTTCAAATCAAAACAAAAAAACTAACCCATCTGGTGGATGATGGCACAAGCTTCCAAGAAAATTCTATTACAGTGAACCACATTATTTTAATGGATTTCTTCGCCATTTCGTCGTCTGTCACTTCGTTTGTGCTACTATGCATGGACAAAATGCATAGTAATTTTGATAGAAATAATAGGACAATTAAATGAAATTGTTTTCTGCACAAATCTATTGGTGATGGTTTTTAATTTAAACCAGCAAAATAGTATTATACCCTAGGGGAAGTACAACTTGATCTGAAGTAATATTTGGAGTAAAAATTGCTCAATTTGGTAATTATTATAATTTTTAGTATAAATATTAATTATATTAACTGTCAAGCGGACAGCTTCAAAGTAAAAAAAATAACAGTGTAACTTAAACGCATACACTCAATGACGTTTCACCGTTGTTGTTTATGTTTACTGCAGCTTTCATTTTTGCCTAGATTTTCGTTTTCGATAGCTTTGATCGATTTCGACTTCGAATTTTCATGATAAAAACGGTACTGGACGTTCCCCCAGCAGCAAATTTTGCCAGTTGCAGGCTAATGGCAAATCGAGTATAAAACGACCACGGAACCATCACTCTGGGACTCCGTTTGCAGGGGAGGCGTAGTCAGTCGATTTCCGTTCCATCGGAGGACAGCACATTGGTTCGCAGACGATGAAGAATTCGTGGAAATTAATGACTATTTTCTGGGACAGAAGTGCGACCGATTATGTGCACTGAGATCAGCTAACAAATAATGCCGAATTTTTTAGAACAAGGAGCGGATTTTGGTGGTGGTGGCCAGCAAGATCATCAAAGAATGACTTGCTTCTGGTGTGAAATCCATTTTTATTAAACGAATGTCAAATGTACACTTCAAACCAAAAATAGTCAAAAACAAAAAAAAACAACTGTCAGACTAAGTATAAGATTCGCAAATATCACACATATTAAAATATTTAATATTTCCAACATCGATATTGATGCTGATACTTAGACCTGTCCTTCCTCTAGATTATACCAATAGATTTTGTTTTCTGCACAAATCTATTGGTGTGGGTATTTAATTTAAACCAGCAATATAGTATTTTACCAATAGATTTTGTTTCAGTGTAAATAAGCGTATTAAAATAAAAATCAAAAGTTCGATCTACCAAAGATCAATTCTTTCGTATCGATTTAATCCAGCCCAGTGGCAGGCGTATAGGCAACATGTTATACAGTGACAGCGGGCCCAGCACAGCAAAATAAATTATTTGAGCCCGGGACATGCTGCCTACTGTCAAACACTGCTGTTGGTATAGGCCTTGTCACTGGCCTGATTTAATCAGTGCATCGATTCTAGAGCCAAATATAAGATCGATCTTTCTCTGAAGATCGCCCAATCCTACTCTGGTAGAAAAATAAACATTGCGATGAAATACGAACACCGCTAAACATTTCCACATTTCACTAATACCAATAAGCCGGTTGGGTCGCACCTTGTATAATAACAAGTTTTGTCAGTTTGTTCAGGGAGCTTGCTTACATGGAGTTTGAATTTCGTCGTGACATCGTTGATCGTTATGCTCTAAAAATGATTCGGGCTTACAGCCTGAAAACATCTACTAGTGCTAATCCTACATGCGTTTCAAAATCGAATCTATCACAATATGAAAAACACCGTTCTTTCGTTACAAATTCTAAAACTATTGTCGGAAATTCTAAAACATATTGTCAGAACTGCCATAAAAGTGAGGTTAAATCTTCCTTTTCATCATTTTTTCATCCTCATACTGTTTATAGAATTTTCTCATAGGCGTAAAGAGTTCAGGGCCACCCTCATTTGATCCGTTTGCGTTGCTTGCGTTGAAGTAATCTGACAGTAGAGTTAGAGAATAGATTTAGGCTGTGAACCATTTGCCGAGTTAAATTTAACTCGTGGTTAAAAGTGACATTTCGAAAGTTATTTTCCATGTTCAAAAATCCCTGTGCTATCGATCGACCGGTTTTTTAGAAGAACTTAGCCTTAGTCTGTCAGAAGTAACCACGCTATGATAGCAGGGTTAATCGACAACTTTCAATCTGTCAAATTTTAACCAAAAGTTAAAAAATTGTTCAGAGCCTTAATCATCACATTGTTGCAACGCGTCAGATCCGGATCTAATGTTAAATGAGATTAGGTATATTTAAAAAATGCTAAATATAGGTATGTATGTATCATCAGGTATGATATACCATTGGTACATTTCTACAACCTTGTAATATATTTATATAGCTAAAAAAAATAGGCCAACACACTCAACGTGCAGATATCATAACTCAATGTCAGAAATGCGGAGGCAAATTATTGGTTTCGTGCAAAGTATAAATTCCCGCTCAATAGATTCTAATCACCAAACTATGTCCAGCCGAAAACGGTCATTCATTGAAAAGTTACGTACGTGTAAGTATTGGATTTCCTCAGAGCAATCACATTAATTTAGCTGCTTTTCTACACCAGACCGCACAATAACTACTAATAGGAATGCGATGATGATTAACAAACATTATTAATTTTTCAGTGACCCAGCGAAAAAAGTCGAAAGCGGATGGTGCACCAGCCGCGAAGAAACCCAAGGCCGAAAAGAAAACGGCTACTCCGAAAGTGAACAAGTCAGCTACCGATTATTCCAAGCTGAGCTTCGACCTCCCAGAGAAAGAGTTCAATTTCAAAATATCCAGCTGGAATGTGGCAGGCCTGCGCAGCTGGGTCGGAAAAGCCGGACTTGAGTTCTTCGAGCACGAGAATCCCGATATCATGTGCATACAGGAAACCAAGTGCACCGACGATCAGCTGCCGGAGGAAGCCCGTCACATCAAAGGCTACCATCCGTACTGGCTGTGCAATCCGGGTGGCTACGCTGGGGTGGCCATTTATTCCAAGAAAATGCCGATTAATGTTACGTATGGGTTAGGAGATGCCGAGCAGGATGCTGACGGTCGACTGCTGACGGCGGAGTACGAGAAGTTCTTCTTGGTCTGTGTATACGTACCCAATGCAGGGCGTCAGTTGGTAACCCTTCCGAAAAGAATGCGATGGGACGAAAAGTTCCATCAGTACCTGAAGGATCTGGATAATAAAAAGCCGGTAATCTTGTGCGGCGACATGAATGTGGCCCACGAGGAAATAGATCTGGCAAATCCGAAAACAAACAAGAAGAATGCCGGCTTCACGAAGGAAGAACGAGACGGAATGACCAAGCTGCTTTCGTTGGGCTTTGTCGATACATTCCGTCGGCGGTACCCAGATCGGAAAGGAGCGTACACCTTCTGGACTTATATGGGTAATGCGAGGTCGAAGAACGTGGGCTGGCGTTTGGATTATTTCCTAACATCCGAGCGGCTCGACGGTAAGGTGGTGGACAATGTGATTCGCTCCGAAGTATATGGTAGCGATCATTGCCCGTTAACGCTGTTTCTCAAAATTTAAGTGACCTACCTACAACCTATGTTTTATGTTTGAATTGGATTTCGATTATATTGTACCTTGCAAGTTTATATGGAAGTGGCTCGAAAACAGGTAGGATGTTACATATGGTGACCACTTTGTGTTTTAGTTTTAGGATACCGTCTTTGGACTTATTTAACCTACACGTATTAATCAATAAAATTATACAAAGCACATGCAGGTTTTTGCTTTAATTCGGACAGCTTGTGAGAAAATGACTGGGCAAAGTTGGAATTTAAACCCAGGTGGAAACTAATTGATTAAAAGTATAGATCATCAATGGATAATGTTCGGGAGCCAGCGAACAGTCATTCCCATGACTACAGCTTGTCCCGAGTAAGGGGAGCTTCGGGGGCAGATCCAGAGGTCTTGGTTCAGGCCTATTCTGCGAGTCGTGTCACCAGTGAAGATACAAAAATCACGTCGTGTGAGGTGACTCTCCATTTGATTTGCACGGAGAGTCACGACTCGCAGAGTAGTCATCCGAAAGAAGGCCAAATAGAAGGCTTTGAACGGGACTAAGGGGTATTCCAGAACAGAAAAGAGATTAATGTTCATTGTTTTATTCATTCAACTATTGTTGGAAACCTCTAAATGATTCCAAAAGTTTTTCGCCCGTCGATAAATTTCCTCACTTTTGTCGTATTCGTTGCCACCCTGCAAATACATCGGTGTAAATTCACGATAGGCCAAGCACACACGTCGCTCGCTGATATCCTCCCGTAGGACCGAATGCTCCCACTGATACCTCGGTGGCCCGTACATGACAAGAAGAGATCGCCTGGAGTTGAAATTTCAAAAATTAGTTAGTTCAAAGTACAGTAGTTCTAAAGACCTAACCTTGGCATCGGAATTCTGACTATCACATCGTCAAATGTGTCCATTGTTTCCTCATCGACCAGGTCACCGATCAATTTATCCTTATACCGGTCGACAAAATCCAAATTGTATCGATTCTTACCATCCTCCATGCGATACCTGGACATGGTAAGCACCGAATCGCTGAGGAAATTCACCGTCACAATCCTTTCGCCCCAAATCCAGCAGTCATCGATGTGGGGATCAATAGAGGCCCCCCTTTCCGGAGTGTACTCCAAGGAGCACTGTTCTATAGATTGGAATTCCGCCATCAACGGTACTTGATCGAATTTACGCTGGACAAATTCCGAAAACTTCGGGAACCCTTCAAAGGCCCCAACTCTAAGTTTGGTCTTTTTGAAATTTGTCTTCGGGCCAAAGTTTTGCTTCCGTCTGCCACTTTGGGACATATCCCATGGCATCTCATCGATGCCCTTCATCAGTTCCGCTTCTTCGACTTCGGTCAGAAAGTTCAGATCGATGTAAACTCCCGGATAGTACTTCCCCGGATCACCTCCGTGGTTCTGGTCGTGTTCGGACATCACTTTATCCGTGTCCCATCCCGGGAAGATTTTACTGCACCGGGGACAAAACGAATAGGCTTTGGAGTTCTGAAAATCGTGACTTCCTAGATGATTCATTCAATGTTCGTAAAAGGGGCTTAAGAAGTTACCTTGAATACGCTTAAAAAGTCCACCCGATCTATCTGGAAGTCCTTCTCGCAGTTGAGGCAAGTACGGCGGCCTTTGCAACCACACGGCCGTGGATGGTCCATTTTAGACGGAAGTGGAATTAATCTTTCGAAGAATCACGAAATTCTACACGCTCCCCTCTTTTATTTACTTTACACTGCGGATGTCACAGTTGATGTATAGAACCGTCATTCCAGTATAGGGCGACCAGCTGTTGACGGTACATGTGCGGCTGTCACTCACAGTCACACACTCCGTTCCAGACGGACGTAAACAAATTTTCGTTTGCAAGTTTATTGTTAAGTAAAAGTGTTCATTTTACGTGATTTTGTGCCGATTATGTGATTTTAACTGATTCTTATTAAGCCATGCAGCGATATACGGTGGATTTAAGTGATTTGTTCTCCGATCACCGTCAGAAAGTGTTCGTGGGCAGACGCCATCAGTGGAAGCATATTGCCTGCCTGCTAGAGCATATTCGCTGCGTTTTCCACCTCGATAGTCATATCTACCTTACAAATAGCGAGAACGTCCTCTTTCCAGAAAGAGAAGATCTGGATGTGATCCAGGAAAGTGATCAGTTGATGTGAGTACATCTAATAATATTCTAAATAATTTTGCATTCATATTCTCATTTTCAAAATGATTGATCCTGGTGAGTGACTGCGTCCGGTCACAAAACGTCAATGCGTCTCTCATTTTCCGAATCTGTTCTATACTTTTTGACAGAGTACACCCTTCGAACAGTTTGAATGGCACTCAGCAAATTAGCGCGCCAAAAGGAACGGCAGATGGCGAATCACGTGTAGCCGTTGTAAATCAAAACGGAAAACGGAAGCGTGATCCTCTCCCTAAATTGAAACTAGCAAAATCTTCCCAAATAGTTCAAGAGTCTAGCTCCGATTCCGACAGTGATGATGATGATAACGAAGATAATCTACTGCCCAAAATCTTCGTCGAATTGGAATCTATGTCCCGGCAAGACGAATCCGTTCAAGAGCTTCCAAAACCGAAAAGGAAGCGAATCCGGAAGCGGAAGTCCAAAAAGGTAGAAGTGGACACTCCACCAAAGGTGATAGTGAAAACCTACGGTAAAAGTAAAGTGCCGGCTATCAATACCGAAAATGAAACCCACACAACTCATATTCGATTTGACAATGCCAATGGCGAGATAAAGGACAAGGAAATCGAATGCGACGTTCTCGCGAAAAAGGAACCGTATAGAAATCTCAATAAAATCATTGTCCCCCGAGTAATAAAAGCTGTTTCACAGCCGTCTGTACCCTTGTCTTTAAACGACGAAACACCGTCCGTTCCAGATTACGAAGACGTTCGCGATCTCAACATGGCTGATATAGTGAACAAGACTCAAAGCAAGCGACAGTCACGGAAACGAAAGAAATCCCTGGAAATTAAACAAGAGCTGATAGAAGCGAATACCGAGCGTGCAGTCTCGCCCACGTGGGATACCGAGCTGGACCAAGCGAAGGAAACCTTCCTGTCCACCTATAGTGGGGAAGAATTTTGGGTTACCCTGCAGGATGCGTTGGAAAATTTCCCCAGCATTGCCATCCCTAGCGCAAATGACATCATCGCTTATCGGATCGACGCGCAGTCTTATCTGGCGCTGGTGGAACGAGCTGACGATGGCGAAAGTGACGACAGGCCCGCGCTAAAACTGACAATGCGCCAGCTCAATGGTGCACGGACAGCACAGCCGGTGATGGTATCGGCCACGTTAGATCAGCTGACGGGAATCAGACTTGTCGCGACGTATCAGCCATAAACGTTGCATGGTGAGGACAATGGCATCTGGGAGTTCAATCATTATAAAATAATAAACCAATAAACGTTTTCCTGTCCAGACTAAGGTGTGTTCGTTGCGGAATGTGATTTGGAAAGAAATGCATTTTTCATATAAGAAGGAACTATGAACATTACGGGTGCTTCGTTTAAAACAATAAAAAAGTATTTGTTATCTAAGGCCACTATCCAGTTTGGGGCCGTTCGTAGGCTACGCAGATTTTTTGGGTGAGGGAATGGGTAACAAAGTCTACGGGGAGGGAGGGAAGGGGACATTTCACAAAGTCTAGGTAGCTTAAATTTATTTAAAAACATATCTGATTTCTTTTAAACTACAAATAAGAATCGCTGCAGATATGATCAATGACGTACATTTTCCGTATCGCAAAAAATATGCGAAAAAAATTCAATCAATCAAAGGCATTTTACAAAGCAGATTCACAATAATTTGTACTTAAGCATTCCACAATTTCACGTAATCGAATATGTACACAAAATTAATATAAACTGGAGGTTAAATCTCTTGGTGAACAAAATAAAACACTAAGAAAATCACTTTGACTCCACTTCTTTGCTAGCGAAGAATTACCTCTACACAGCAAAAAAAGTTGTTGAATATTACATCGAAACTGCTGCAACCAGGTCAATCCATCGGTTGTGTAATATCACATTGTACGATGTACATCGATTTTGCGAACAAAATTACATCCATTGATGTTATATTGTATCTGCTTTTTGCTATTACATCATTATTTCATACATCAGCTTGAATTACGTTGATCGATATTACATTTTTTTTTGCTGTGTAGCAATGAATATAAGTTTTTTTTAAACATGCAAATATATTTTTAAATCAATAACATAGACGAGAGGATGTTTTTAATGGTGAATAAATATCAAAAACTGAATAAAACTAAAAGGACCTTTTTTGGTACTAAAAAGTTCCAGTTACAAAGGTAAAAAAAGATTGAATTAAACACAAACAAGGGCGATGGCAGCATTGCATGTCAGCGGTGCCAGATATACAGATATGTCTGTATTTATACAGATTTTTGAAGTATCGTACAGACCCAATACAGACCACGGACATTATACAGATATTTGAAACTTTATACAGATTTTTACAAATTGGTTCCTGAAATTTAACATAAAACAAACAAGTTCATCGAGTGTGTGCATTAGAGTGATGCAAAATTTGAAATTTTCGCTCCACAATACTTAAACGATTCCAAATCTGATCCTGACTAACCTCTCAAAATTTGAACCCATTTGGTGAGAAACTGAGATGGCACAAACCATTTGAAGTTTGTATGGTAATTACTATGGTAAAACCAAGATTTTTGTTCATGCCTATCTTATAATTCACCATATCGGTTTTCTTCAAAAACTTTCAACTGTTCTTGTAGAAAATTTTACCAGCTACAACTTTGCTGAAGACCATTTTTTGATTAAATGCAAGGATCGAAAGTTATCAATGGTTCAATGCGCTGATGTCTTATGATCATGCTCAATCAACTGATCAGCAGGCAACATTGGTGTTTCTGGGGCGTTGAATAGGACACAACAATCATGGCTACTATGTCACACTGCAAAATACAGTGTTGCCTACAGAGCAGCTGCTTGATCAGTGATAAGTTTACCAATCTCTTAAATAATTAATAACTTTTTCCTGTCTCGTTTTACATAAAAACGATCTTCAGCAAAGTTGTAGCTGATCAAATTTTCTATAAGAATGGTTATCGAACTGTTTTGCAGCTCAATATGGAAAAAGACTAGATGGCAATGAACAAAAAGTTGAGATTTCCCATAGTTATTTACATGTAAACTTCAAATGGGTTGTGCGAAGTCTGTTTCTAACCAAATGAGTTGTAACTTTTGGAGGCTAATCAGGACCCGATTTGAAACCATTTAAGCACTGTGGAGCGAAAAAGTCAAATTTTGCATCAGTCTAGTGTGCATCTTGTTATGCTTATGGTACGTGTTATGATAAGACCACAGACAAACAGACGTAACTCTTTGAAAAAGTTTTTCTTGAAAATATAGTATCTCAAAACATAGGACCTCAGTAACGACATCTCTCCTGCTTCTCGCGGAAAACAAGCTTGCTCGCTAACTCGCAAACAATATTGCATAAAACTTCTATAGAATGTATAGAAACGTCAAAGTGATCCGATTCCAGCGCTGTGGCGAGTAGTTCGCGGAACTGATAATATTCAAATCAACCGTTAAATGCGTGAACGAAGATACACAATGAAGTGTTACGTCTGTTTGTCTGTGATAAGACTAAATAATAACACATGTTCGGTAAGTTCTGATCGTTTCTTATTTATTTTTATGTGGAATAATAGATTTTCCCCTTTTTAAAGGCGAACCAGCCCAAGGCTGAAAGCCTCCCTAATAAAGATAAATAATTTTCCCTTTTTCTAGCCTTTCCCACATCATGTTGGAAAAGTTCACCAAAACTCACTATGACTCGCGAATTTTTCCCAAGGTTGCAAAGACTCATTTCAGCTAAAACAATGTTTTTCTAAATTATGAAATAATTAGATGCCATGATCAAATTTTGAATTGGTACACACAAAAAATAAACGTTAATAGAATTAAAAAAACCGTTGGTAGAATTAAAAGTTTGCATTGGTTCTTTTTGGTAGAAAGTCAGAAACTTTCAATTGCAAAAGACATGAACAGTTAAAATAAAAATGCTGACTCCTTTGATTTTAAAAGTCACAACTTTTATAATTAAATGTTATAAATGTCAAATTAAAAGTTTCTACTTTTGAAATGAATTTGTAGAACTGTCAAATTAAGAGTAGGTTAGGCCAAAATAAATTTAATCTTATTTCAAAATGAGAGCGTAGTTAATCAAATAAAATTTTATTTCTTTTTAAACATAAAGTTCATTGTTTTGATTTTTACGTATATATATATATATATTTTAAATGTAAAACTAACAAAAAAAAATTTAAAAATATTGAATTGTGGAATTGTCCGCCATCCTCGTCAGCATCTGTTGAGCCGTCCATGCAATCCACTTCCCCTGCTTCAACCTTAAACTGTGGTGCTACCGTTTCAGCCATCTGGCTCAGAGTCCGGTGTGACCCAATCCGGAACGATGATCTTACTTTTGACTGATGTTGAAATTTCCGAAAAGAAAGCGATTCTATTATCGTAAAAAAAATTCCCTAGTCTGAACGAGGCATTATCGTAGATAAACTTGCCATATTGATCCTGTCGTATCACCGTATTTTATTTATATTTTCAGCCGGTCTAGCTCACGGATGATCCGGTGAATGCAGCAGGGATTTGTTTTGAAAACTGGTCGAATAGAAATTAATAAAGCAAGCTTTTCAATTCTCATTTTGCGCGTTTTTATTTTTATTTACTCACGTTATTCAAAAACTAACCAGAAATGAGTAGAAACCTACCCCCGAAGAAGTTGTTTTGACAGTAAAACAATTTTTGATTTGAAAATCTGCACTTTTAAAACTACAAGTTAAAATCAAAACATCTACTTTTGGATTGAAAATAACCTTGTTGCTTCAAATATTTTCATAGTTCAAGTAACAAATTTTGGGGTACTTTTAAATTGAAAGGTTAATATTTTTACCGATACAATTTTCGTTTTTTGTGTGTAGGATACAAGAAGAGGTTGCAAAGAATGTGTTTGACATATTAAACCTGTTTATTTCACTTCATTAGAGTCACAATCAGCGATTTTTCACAAACTCACTCACTCACTCACTCACTCACTCAGCGATCAGCAAATCGCTGATTGTGACTCATAGAAAGCAAAATTTACAGGTTTTATGTTTCCAACGCATACTTTGTAACCTCTTCTTGTAAGTTACAAGTAAAACATGCCATCATACCGTCTTTTGGTTTTATTATTCCGAAAAACATTATTTTAGCTGAAATGAGTCTTTGCAACCTTGATTTTTCCGAGGGGGGCGACACATCTAAATCTCAATTCTATGCCCAAAAAATCTCACACTAGCGAATCAATCTTGGAAAATCATCTTTCATTTCTCGCATCTACTTGCATCGTGCTTCATCTTTTTGCAGGAAATCTTCAAAATCGACACAAATCTTTGTTTTATCTACTCAGCGTGCGTGCAGCTAGCCACAGCAAAACACAATCTTTTCTGCATCGTAGATAGAGTCGTCCCCCTCGGATTTTTCCCTTGGTGAACTTCGTGAAATATCGCGATCTGGGCCACATGCCTATGTTCGACATTTTTTTTCATTTGTTACTTTTTTACGTTTTCACTTTATTCCGATGGTTCGGTAAATGGACCTTGCATAAGATATTTATCGTTTTAAATCTCGTGATAAAAAAAAATGCTTTTTAAGTTTTGACTTTGTATTTGTACTACTGTGTTACCTGATTTATAACGAATATAAGTTGTATACGAGTACCCCGAATACAACGTATAGTTCGTTTAATTTTAAATAACATTGCAAATGCTATGCAAAATTAGACGAGTCATACGTTGTATTCGGGGTACTCGTATACAACGTATATTCGTTATAAGTGCAAAGCTCAAAATAAGCTAAAATTAAGTAAAAAGAACTTAAATTTAGAGTATTTTTTTTCTCTGTGTACAACATTCTTATACACGTGCATGTGTGACGTCACATTTGCTGTTGTTTTGAAAAGTAAAAGAATAAAAGAGATGGCAGATTTTGCTCACCATACCAGTTGATATTTGTGATTCATTGACTGTTTTGGCTCGGCGACGCACGCTACCAACGAATTTTACAATTACTGTTAAAAAGTGATGATTTAGGAATACAAGAAGCAAAAGCAAATCCAGTTGTCTCTTGACATTAAATACGTTTGTAAGGTTTGTTTGTCGGATTTTGTTCTACATATAATGTATTGAAACAGTAAAGTTGGTATTTGGGCAACGCATTTATTTTTATATCTGTGATCTTGACTTTTTTACCTATGGAATGAGTACTTAAGGGGGTTAGATTTTGATAAGTTCTTTAGTGGGAATGACACTGATGAAGACTGCACATT